CGAAGCTCGCATCAATGAGCTCGAGACCGAGTCTCAGTATTACGAAGATTTGTAAAACAAAGCCAAATCTTCTACTGGTGAGCAGACCGCTTATCAAGAGCAGTGCTGGCTAGCACTGATGATCAATCGCAAAACAGAGGCAGATACACACCCAACGGCACATCTACAGGATCCAATAGCAGACCCGGCATTCACTTCGGTTCCATAGGAGCATCTCTCTCGCCGAATCTTGCAAACAGTGACCGGTAAGTGCAAGAGTGCGAAGTTTACCATCTCCGCTGACCAGCTTTTCTCGATTTTACATAGATTGCGAAACTGGTGAAGAACTGGATCACTCTGCAGAAGATGCGACTGCTCAACGCAAAGTTGCGGCGGCTTTCACTGCGGATTGAGTGATTGACAGACTGTAAGAGCGTCCTCACCGAGCTGTTGGTTTCATACGCCACGCCATATCTTCCCAAGGCTTACAGATCTAGAAGCAATTGCTCCCCTGGTCGGCTCCTAGCAGTCGGCGCACAATTTTACGGAATTTGGGGTCCGTTTTGCCCGACCCCGAGGCATAAACCAGAACAATTGGCAACAAAACCGCGGTGGTATGCCAATAAAGCCTGCAGCTTAGCTTGCCCTTTTGTTACGCATATGGTCCCGGTTTGTCTTACACCGCCGTACGATTCTATAACAATTGACTGATGAAAAATCGTAAAACAGAGACCGGTAGGTATAACTCCTCCAGAGATTACTATGTACGCTAATCTCTTTCCTTTATAGTTTATATAGATTGTCAGATAGGCGAAAAATTGGATCGTTCCGCAGAAAATGCGATTGCTCGGCGCAAAATTAGGCGGCTTTCAGTTCTGAAGCCATCGACGATCTGATCTATGAGAGTAAATTCGAAAAATAACTACTAGTCCTCCAGCTGAGGAGGAGACCGAGAACGCGACACCAGAAGAGGGCCGCCCAGGAAGGTCAGGTTCGTCTAATACCACATTATGACCCTGGAGATGTTATAGAAGGAGACGGGTTTCCAAGAGATATATTGTCGGTCAAAGGAGGGAGGTCAACGTGGATTACATAACTGTGCTGTCAACGGCTACCACTATTATGGAAGAAATATCTGTTATTCGTGTGGTTCTGCAAGGTGTAACGTATATGCGGTACTATGTGCCTCGGCGAGGAAATATCAGCGTATTAACTAGTTTGCGCATAGTGAAACACATTCCGTTCCAGCGCTTCCCAAGTTCCCACTCACAAACACGACCAGGACGGCGGCATAACTAATATGGATTAGTTCTTTGAAGCAAACATTTTGGAATATCAAAGGTTATACGTACGCAGCTGTCGCACCAAAAATCTCCGGTCTTCTTGCGTTTGTCAGTAAACCAACTCCGAATGCAAATAACGTTGTAAAGACTGCTATCATCCCAAGTCGAGCCTTAGGCGACTGCACAATGTAAAGGCCAATAATTGCGCCGATTAACAAGAAGGTGGCAAGCAGAATGCTACAGATGACGACAAAACGTGCAATATAGACGTCCGACGCATATGCAACTTGCCCATCCGTCTCCCCAGTCTGCCCATACTATCAGCAATTATCGCTTTAGGTCGTGTCCGTTCAAATCTAGGTACCTACCGCAAAGAGGCTAGTCATATGGTTTTGCGCAAAGGCAGTGAGTCGATCGGGAGACTCATCGACATTCAGCACCACCAAATCGTCGCGATCATCATACAGATCAGCACTAGTTCCTCCCAGGGTCGGATATGTTTTGCTATCGCCAAATCTCGATCTAAAAGTCTTTAAGACCTTCCTGTTGGGCCCGAGAAAGTCGAGCAAGTGTATTTTCCGATGTCAGTGCCTCTCCTGTTTACAATTAGCCCATGACCCGGTTGCACGAGAGAGGAGCGACCATACTATAATCCCGCATGGTTCTCCGAATTCTCTCGGACAGCTCGAACCTTTCCTTCTGGCATGCAACTCCCTCCACGACCGCCATGAAATCGTCCCAGTTGCGAAGGCATTGTTTTTGTTCCATATGACTTGCATCTTTTTCGTCAAGGACGTCGAGCTGCTTTTGTAGTTGCGCAAGCTCACTCTGCAGGTGCAGTAGATTCCTGGCGGCGAGTCGATCGAATCGCTTGAAAATAAGGGTTGTTCTATCTCTATCGCTTGCGATAAAAGCTGCAAGAGAAGGAAAGCTGGGGACGTACCTTTTACGCATGAGTTGGTCCTTATTGTTAACCTCGTCCTAGTGTTTGGTTTTCTTGGGAAAGATATTGGGTTTGGGTCTTCGGGATGCAAAGACGCCCTGCTGCACTCTTGAGGCTTTGTGCAAACCACATCACAAAGATATTGCATCTCACCGGAATTCAAAGCGGGGAAAATTTCTGTCATCACCAGCGCAACCTCCAGCTGAAAAACTGATCCTCATCGCTTTTTTTACAGCGAGAACGGTCTCCGAGCATCAACTCCGTTCTGTTGTATTTCGGGGTCCAATGCTCGAGACTGTGAGTGGCGTTCACCTGTTCGATACCGATCCCAGTTGACGCCAGAAGGAATTGCCTCCCACCGAATCACCACGCAGAAGATGTCGAGTTTCTCTGGTATGTGTGAACAATCTCGAATACTTATTCGACATGAGTTTAACATCCTTAAGATTTTTCTAGTGAAGAAGAGATGGGGCCTGAGTACGAAATTCTTGAAGCCACAGAATATGGGAAAGTGAATAAGCCCTTCCAAGGGTTTGCCAAAACCCGACCAATGGGCGACATAAGATACAGGGCGGGATATGAGGAAGCGGACCCAGGTTCTATCCTGGAAAACCCTAAGTTCGACGCGATAAAGTTTGAAGATCATAAGACTGACACGGAAGATTGGGATATAGTAATTGCACGCCAGATGGAAATGGCGGAATTGCTCCCTCAAAAACAGGAAAGCCAGCATCTTCAATCCGTTACATCACATGGTGGTGATCAAGCACGAAATGACGGTATACAGCGAGAGGCAGTCGAGCCATCGCTGTCGGCACCTGAAATCAAATCTTCCGACCACTTTGGTCGAAATATGGCGTGGACTCACCCCAATTCACCCAATCCCTCCTATCAACCTCTTAGCCAGCAGCATCGTTTAGGTTTTGTCCCATACCTTAGAAGTTCGAGCACACTGTCGAACGTTGCAGCCGACGGCCAGCCAGACAAAGATTCCTCCCCATCTTCTCTGTCTCTGCATAACGACACTCCCCCACGGTCCTCGAGCAAATCGCCACTTACAATCCACGAAAACTCGACAACTAGTACTGGTGGTTTCAACTGTAACTTCACTAGATGCACAGCTGGGCCCTTCAAACTCTATATCTGCTTAAGTAAGTCTGATGGTCTCAACGTCTAGCTATTGACTAAACAGAAGTAGCTCACATAGAAATGCGCATCCCCAAAATCCTCCGTACTATTGCCCCATATCAGGCTGACCCTATTTCTTCATCTCCCGCTCCTGAGACAGCGAGCAATCGGGCTGAGCAAGTGAGGTCTCCAACATCTCCAAGCAACTGAGTGGATGGCAAAGCGTCTATGACGAATGGAGAAAGCTATTTGAGTCCGAGTAGACATGTTTTGAACCCATTAGAACGAAGCGAAGGACCATGGTCCAGACTTTCTCCCCCCGTATTTCCCTCAGCATCTTTGAAGCAGACACTACCAGTCATAAATCCATTGGCTACAGCCGCAATCCTACCAGTTCCGCAACATGATATCCGCACTAGCTCAAGCCCTAATGTGCTCGACAAATCGCCCTACATAGTCGGGGCCGAACAAAAGCGAACCTCACCCAGCATGGTCGAGAAGGACAGCGCACTACAGGCAAAAATATCAAGTGACAGCAACACTATTTCTTCTAATGGAAGGAGTGAAACCGCGGATCAAGCCCGAAGGCTTAACATCACTGGGGTGAGCCATAGTGAATCTGTGCTTCTATCGGAAAAGAGCCCATCAAGAAGAAAGCGTGAACCTGACCGAAACCAAAAATCGTTCCAGCGCGAAATCCATGATTCCGCTGAGTGTGAAGAGAAATTACCGTCGGACAAAGCTGTGGGAGGTATTGAGCGACCAGATTGGCCGGGATATATTGAGCCTTTGTCACAATCATCAGCTGGGAGGGAAGAACAAAACCATTATGCAATATCTGCTAGCACGAAGGGAGATTTCGAAGCAGGGAAATATGCTCCGAAGACAGAAAGACCTGAGAATTCTGGTCCTCAGACCATTTAATCACACAAAGCCAAGCACGCGGTGAAGTCCCAAAAAGCCGCTCGCAAATTCCCAGTTTCGAGAGACAGAAAGGGCCTGCCAATGACTTTTGATAACGCGGAATCCCCTGCTACAGTCATGTCTTGTCCGGATACTGGATCAGAAATCAACGCCATGTCATTTGAAATTGCTCGCCTTTCGCGTCTAGACATTGATCATGACGTAAATGACTTCCATGGCAACTACAATGGCGAATGGGAAGTCGCACTTTGCAGTCGGAATCGCAATGGTTGACTGTATTTTGGATAGCGCTACCAAGTCGGAGCCTCCAAACTTTTGGTGTACTGTACGTTCTACATTTTTCACGAACTGATAGAACCATACATCTACGTCGGCCGAGAGTTCTTGCATCTAACGGAGACTCTCTCGAAGTACTCGGAACGCTTGTTGCCGAGGTGTCATTGTGATTTATACTTCAATCGCCATAAAACTCGTTTTAGCTTGCAGTTAAAGCTCGCACAAGCGACTATGAGTGCTAGCTAAAAAAGTGTGTGTAATCTACTTCGTGTGCAAACTTTGTTCGACAATCTCAGTGAAATTACCTTATTGAATTTCATTTTTCCAGCCTTTATCGTTGAGAACCGTCCGCATGCTCCCTTTCTCTAGCAAAAGCATAGATCTTCGAAAAGGCCAGAAAAAAGATAATCGAAGGTCGTACCCCTAAATTTTCGATTAAAATCATATTTCATAGATATGGTAAGTTATAAACTTACGGAATCGAACCGGGGTCCCCGGAAGTTTTTGGTATCAGAATCCGATGTGCTAACCCCTACACCATACAACCGTGTACTTTTGAAAGCTCCTGTTGGACATCTAAATGTATAAAGAGATGCATCATAGCAGATGACGCAAGCAGGAGGGATCTCATCTCTAGTTCGAAGCAAGCTACTCTCGTACCACACAATTATTTTCATATCTCTCTTTCAACACAATCAGCTAAGTTATACCTGTCGTTCGCTCCATCGGTCGCCAGAAAGAAGTGTTTGAGTGCTGCTTAAATGGGGTAGAAGTGCAGGCAGTGGCTGATACTGGCGCAGCGGTAAATTTGATGGCCCGGAGCTTTGCAGACGATTGCGGCTTCAACGTCGAAGATAGATCAATATGGATCCAGTACGCGGACGGTTCTTACGCTGAAACGAATGGAGTTGTCGTCGCAGAGGTTGCTGTGGGCTTTGAGAAACCAATCTATAAATCCTCAGAAGAATCTACTGTGGCGATACTAAGCATCAATCCAGGACTGATTAATCAATACACTACACCAGTTCACACACCTGTTGTGGCTACGGCAGCGAACCGTGTGGTTGACAATGATGTGAGGCGGGTAGTGACAGTCGACTTTCATCTAAAAGATGACTTGATCACAGAGGTCCACATCGGCGAGGATGCCGTAGCCGTTTTACAACCACACCGACTCAATGTGAACAATTTCACATGGTCCGCGGACGGTCGTTCTCGGTATCCATATATAAACCGTATCACAGAAGTCCAACGACCATCAAAGATTAGACGGCTAGCTACCGCAATGGGCTTTGGAGGTATATGTGATTGAAGCAAATACTTGCGTTTCGTCCTTCTACAATTTTCATCCAGGGACTACACATCAGAATCAAACTAACGCCACCTAAACTAATACGGAATCAACAAGGCATGAGGAAGATCAAAGGGAGAACTGGCGTCGTGAACAAGAGCGAGGACGTATTGAGACACACCAAGGGGATGCCATATTGCAGGCGCAGGCTCGAGAATACCTGATTCAGGAGCAGTACAATAACAGAACACACCATGTTACGATATAACAATACTATAGTATACCACTATCAAAGTCCTATTCGCTCACAGCTTTCAATGCAGTCGTAGCCAACATGAACCAAATTTGGAACTCTACTGTGATACTTCCTATCAGCTACCCTCCTCAACTAATCATCTTTCGTTTTCAAGTAATACCTGTTACCCTCCTCAACACAGCGTCTAGCAGACTAGATCGAATATGCCTGCGAACACATGGCCTGAGGCGCTCATGGCTGGATCTATTCGGCTAATGCCATTTAAATAGACTTTCTCTTCTATTGTTGTCCCACTTCCAACCTACAACAACCACAACAAACCACATCATACCGTGGTGAACCTCTTCCACAATACCAACAAACACAATCAATCAACAGCAACAATAAGAACAATGGGGCTTTTTCACCTCAAGTAAGCGAACTTTACCGTCATTCATGGTTGCCAGGTTTAACCTTTTCCAAGCGTGTCTATCCTCAGCTCTCAAGAAGAGCTCATTGTTAACAACAACATCAATGAAATGTAATTATATTCTCCCTCCAAGCCCGCCCACAATCACTTATAAGCTACTAGAACCGAGTAAACTGGCCGAAACAAGCGGCACGGTATCTACCTGGGTGACGGTGGCATGATCCCGGGCATGATTGCCTGGGTAGCCATGGGAAATGGTGGTGCGGCTGGAGATGGAATGGGAGGGAATGGTGCGGTTGAGAGGGTTGTTCTGGCGGGCGCCGCTGAACAGGCTGCCCAGGAGTGTAGGGCGGTGGCGCGGGAGGGTAAGAAAGCAAGAGTGAGCCAGTGGTTTGGGAGGAGGGGCTTCTGGAGGTTGGTTTGTGGCCGAGGCTGAAAAGTTGAGATGGGAGTGTTACGACTCGAGTGTACAGCGGGAGATTGATGAGATGATACTTCTCTTCGCTAGCTATCGGAGATGATTGTATCTGACGTTGAATGATACTTTGATTATATCACGTAAGCCAAAGATTGGGATTGAATGTCTTGAAGTGAATTAGGCTGCCGAGGAAACACATAGACACCATCTAAACGTTGTTGAGTGCAGCAGCGTCGGCGGCTTCGTCTTGGGTAATAATTTTCCTACAGCGATATCGTAGATATCACAATAAAAACTTCTGAGAGAAGAGGTGTATCATTCATGCATGCAATTCGAACCAGTGAGCCACCGTGCCATGAGACTGTACAGGAACACAGGCAACCCAATATGATTTTACCAAAGAACCGCCATATCAACCACTGCATATATCAACCACTGCATATATCAACCACTGCATATATCAACCCCCATCACTTAATGCTATAGGTGATACGGCGAAACCACAAAACAATCTCACAAGAATGGACTTTTACCGCAGGACCTGCGCCTTGTCCGTGAATGCTATTTACAGGCCAAAGAGACGCCTGTAAGTTATGAATCGATTATAATATCAAGGATGTGTCTGCGGCGTTGTTGGAGACAGAGTGATGGATGGTCAGAGAGATTCATCATCCATGGAAGTGACTCGATTATTAGGAGTGGTGCTACTGCTGTGAGCAATGAGCTCGGCATCCACAACACTGCGAGGCATTTCAGTGAAAGCGTGGCGTCTCCAGCGAAAGCACCGCCGTGGTCCTCTTGGGGTAAACTAATCGTGCTGGTCTTCGTAGCTTTGGTATCCAGGCTCGCTTTGTGCCAGTAGGACGATGCTTGCGTGCTGACCCGCCATTGCGATGCTTCCATTTCTACTCATCGTCTTCTTCACCCTCCAGTGACAGCGCTGGGTCGGCAAAGGAAGAAATCTTGCGCTTTTTTGTGCCTTTACCGATTTGATTGTGCTCGTTGGTGGAGGGCGAGAGGTATTGCCTGGTATTCCCATCAATATCAAAACCCCAAAAAGCCACTGTAACCTTTGGCAGAGGTGTCATGATCTGTCGATCAGAGGTTGGGAGTCAAGGTGAGCTTTCTCATGCCTCAAGTCGATAATGTCCTGCTTCAAGGTAATGTTCTCCTGAAAGATTGCTTGAGTCGAATGGTGGTTTGCTTGAAGGTCTCTAATGGTACCCTGTCCGTCAGATAGTTGCCTATTAACAGCAGTGCATTGATCGTTCTACTGCGGCAACTCATGCCTGGCCTTCTCGAGGTCTGTCTTGAGAGTCAATTTTAATTGATCTCCTGTCAGCTTCAGATCTATGAAGAGTCGTTGCTATTGAAGACAACGATGTCGTCATGGGAGGAAGCTAAGTCGGCTTGGAAGGGAGTTGTCACACACCTCGCCGGATCAATGCCTTGAGATCCATACCTCTACGAGATGAACATAAGCTCCCGGAGACTATGAGAGAGGGGATTCTGGGGGTTTTGCGAGCAGTTGCAAACGGTGCAAATATCGCATCGCTGCAAACGTGGTCAAGACCAGTGAAGGAGTTCTGATATTCTACTTACTACACAGTTTTAAGTTAATCGTTCAAATTATCCCGTATTTTCACAGTGTCATCTTCAGATGAAAGGACCATCAATTTCCTTCGCGGTGGAAGGCTACACCTGGTACGCTGGAGGAGTGACCTTCGAAGGTTAGGACGGCGGCGGGGCTGGAGGATTTGATGTCGTAGAGTTTTATGCTGTTGTGGCCTGCGGCGGCGAGGTGGCATTTGTCCAGGGAGATGTCCCCAATGGCTTGAACATAAGCAGATTCACTGAAATCCATTGTTGACTTTACTGTTGTATTTATCAGAATTTTTTGGAATTAGGAATGAAGTCAGCACTTGTTCCAGGTTTTTGTGCGATTTGGCTTGGCAGCCTAGGCTCACATTGTGAGGTGGTCCACTTCTGTCGCGAGATCAAGATGATATAATCAAAGTAATTATTTTCCTGGCATTTGATTCGCAAGTTGGAGCAAAGTCTGAAAGATTTCGACTTCGCGGTATGGAAATGAACATGTGATTCGAGGGCTGGACAATGTGATATTTGTAAAAACAACAAAATTCAGCATATAATCAAAACTAGCTCCGAACTCCCAATAAGATCTCCAACGGGCTAACCCAAAGATAGGATGCCACTAACTCGCAAACAAATTACCGCACAAACCCAGCCTTGGTTGACCCTGACACTAACTGGGGGTTTCCCCAATTACACCAACACATTCCAGTTATGACCCGAGAATACGGATTCTTGACACATTTCAAGATCATGGCTTTCGAGGCGCAGCCTTCCACCCCACCGGGGCAGCGCGGGCCGTATTTGGCCACTGCGTGTTCCCATTTCTGATTTTTGTCAGAGATATTCCAAGAGACATGTACTCATCTACGTCCTCTCTTCTGGCAGGGAGTGTGTTTTCGGGCTTGTTGACCCATTCAAGCATCAAGTGCCCTGCTGTCTCCCAATACCAGAGCAATTTAGCCTGAACCCATGACCCTAAATCTGCATTTCCTGAAATTTGAGTGACCTCTGCTCCGATGTTCGCAGCCTGTGTCACAACATGACCGTAATGATCACTGGAAATATTAGAGACAGTATCACATGCATAGTTTTGACTCAAACAAGCCGAAGTAAGACTCACATGAAATAGGCTGCGAGGACATAGAAATCGGATCTCTTCCAGTCGGAATTCCTGAGAAAGTCGATTTGGTTCACGGCAGTTGATGCTATAGTCTTGTCGCGCTAAAGAGGAGCGTCAGAAATCTTCGTCGACGTTGTGATAGAGACGACCTTACTCCGCTAACATGCATCGCCAAATCCCTTTTTCTACTGTTGGTGACTGTGTCTGTTAACAGCATGCCGGCATAATAATCTTCTCAATTAGCTTCTCTTCGAGCATTGTATTTAGCACACTCACTTAATTGGGTGGCCATCCTCACACGGTTCGTCCTGGTCGTCTGGTCATTCGACATTTCTCTGTCCGCAGCTGCGAACACAAACTTGTTCACTGCGTGACAGTCAAACTTGGAATGTTGGGCATGCGGGACTTTTCATAGCCGCCCCAGATCGATAAAGTGTATAGCCAGTGAAACTCAATG